TTGCCCAGCAATGCCCATCTCGTGGCATTCCACCTCGGAGTTGCCGCGAAAAACGCTCGGCCGCCAAATGTGGAGCCAGACTGTCTTTGGCGCTGGTCAGGAACTAAACAAAAGTTTTCTTCACGCTTAAAATGACTCACCCGATCGCTGTTGGGCTTCGATTATGATGGAGACGTGGCACAACGCGTTGCCGGCGGCGTGCGCGTCGACGACTCTTGAAAGCGGGGAGGACATCCTGAAAATGAAATATATAGAAACTCTAAGTCAGCAGAGCACTAAGTTGGAGAACATGGAATGCCACGTGAGAATGGACGGTGCTGTTCCTTATTTAGCGGGGGAACTGCGGGGGGAATGTTCTTCGTTTTCTTATAACTCTTTTATAAGTTGTTATTTTGAGTTGTAATTAAAACTCTTAGTATATTTTTTGACGCTCTAAATGGCATTAAAGGAATTTTTGAAAGATATCGAAAATGTCGAAAACTAGCTTTCGATTCCACGATCCCATGTGGCAACAGCGTATAAACCTTGTTTTTGTTACAACTATTTTATAAAACTTTAATTTAAAAACTCTTAGTATATTGTTCGATGCTCTATCGAATGACAGGTTCAAAGTATCCAAAAACTGGCGAAAATGCCGTAAACTAACGTTCCGGCACTAGTTTCAATAGTTTTTTTTTGTTTTTTCTATAACTTTTTGATATTACAATATTGTTAGTTAAAACAAAAACTCTTAGTATATTTTTTGATGGCCGAATATTTTTTGATGGATTTGATGATCGAATGGCGTTGCAAAAATCCCGAGAAAATAGCGAAAAGATGGAAGTTTCCCGCAGGATATTTTTCCTCGCACAGTTCCCCCGCGAAATAGAACAGAACCGAATGGACAAATGGAGAACAGGAAAAAAGAAGCTTTGCGGCCAACATGTCAAAAACCGTCCTTTTGCCAATTTTAGCCTTTCGAAACCCCAAAATGTCCAGAAATTAGCAAAATTATTAAACGAATCAGTCGTAAAGATAAAAAGGCGCTATTTCAGTTTACCGGCCCGACTTCTATCTGGCCAAAATGGCATTTTTCTGGGTCAGTTTTTGCGCTGGTTATGAAAAAAACAACCCAGCTCGTAAAAATGCAATCTAAAGATAAAAATTTACTTTTTATAAAAAATCTAGAACTTCGATTTTCATGGCTTTCCGCTCCTCCAAGTACGTTATCTCGCAAGGAGTTCAAACCAGCAACGTTCATCTTGAGATGCGACGAAGTAAAAATTAGGCTTTTTGCCGGCTTTTATAGGTGCCTACAGTATCCTCGCCGCTTTAAGACCCAGAAGAAGGAGTAATTTTTTTCCTTAGATTGCATTTTTACGAGCTGGGGTGTTTTTTCGTAACCAGCGCAAAAACTGACCCAGAAAAATGTCATTTTGGCCATATATAGTTGGGCCGGTAAACTGAAATAGCGCCATTGCCCATTTTGCTATGTTTGAAGAAGATCGTTTGGAATTTAGTCGGCTGCAAGAGGTTGAAACTAGCAAAAACTTTTTCACGTCGCCTCTGCAAATTTGATGATATATTTGGGGTTAGGGGGTTCGAAATTTGTCTCCAAGTCGGCTCATTTTTATCGGCGCTATTTCGGCATCCGGGCCCCATAAACGGAACTTTCGCGGTTTGGGATAGTTTTTCGAAATCAGCGCACATGACGCTAGAAAAAGTCAAGATTTGACTGGGCCCGGATCCCGAAATAGCACCCAATAATTTATAGCTCAGCGCGTCCGCCGAGAAAAAGGAACGTAGATGGAAAACAAGAAAGAGTTTTTGATAAATAAAAAGTGGGAAATCGCAAAGCAAAAACGGGCGGCAAAAAGAAAAACACTTGGAGGAAGTTGGAGGTTTCATGTAAATGCGCACCGTTCTCGCCCGTAACACGGTGCGTCGCGTAGCGATGGCGTCGCAATTTCGAGAAGAAATGTCCAAAAACTGAATAAACTATTTAAATAAAAATAAAGTTTTGTCTAGTTTCGACGATTCGGACTTGCTGACGTTCGGTGCAACTTTATCGTGGTTATCGAATGAGTGGTCAATGTGCTAGTTTTTGGATCTTTGAGGTCATTTTTGCACTTATTTCGTTTGTCTTGCGTTCGCAACGCCATTTGCCGTAAACTTTATTCACAAAGTTGGAGCACCATCAGCTCTGATCTGACCATACTACCAATGAGTCTTAATAAATAAGAAAAACGGTAACGCAAAACATAAAGACAATGTGGGTGAAAGAAGGGGCGAGTAAATCGATGATTTCGTTTGTTATAAGCTTCATTTGTTGATGATAATGGGTTAATCGGTGGGTGTGCCGCGGGGCGACGACGTCAGCCGAATTCGTCCTTGAGCCGATCTTTTCTCCTAAATTCTCAAGGGTTTGATACTTTCTGTTCATCTCCTTCTTCTTCTTCTTTCCCCCTTTCTAGAGTTATCGGTCCTGGACTGTTAGCGGGGGGCCAAGCATTTTACTAGTTTTTAGATATAAAAACGCTACAAAAAAGATAAAAATGTCGAAAAATTTTGAATTTTTGGTCAAAAATGTATGAAAAATGGCCAAAAAGATCAACGTTTATGAATTTTCAAAGTTTGAAACAATCTTGTTTTATAACTTTCTAGTAATCAAAAAACTAGTCCCCACCCCCCGCTAACAGTCCAGAGCCGAGTTCTCTAGGGTCTTGAGACAATTTCTTGGTTTGCCCCCGCTTCAACCGCGCACCTTTTCTCCAGTTCATCGGGCTCGGTGGGTTCGCTGTCGTTGACGCTTGTTCTCTGCCTGGATGCGGCGCTTTTCCTCCTCGCTGCGGCGCTTCTCCTCCTCCATGAGGCCCTTCTCCTCCTCAGCCTTTCGCCGCCGCTCCGCCTCCTCTTCCACGGTCTTCTTGATGGCTCCGTAGCGATGCTCGTCGGTGATCTTGCCCTCCCATTCGCGCTTCTCGTTCATGTCCAGCTTGTAGACGGCCGCCACGTGATCCACGTGGTCCTGCAACGAATCTTGCAGATATTTTCTTGGTGGGAGAATCGCGGGTACTGGACTGCTAGCGGGGGGGGGGCAAACCAAGTTTTCCTTTTCCACTCACACCTGTTGATGGTTTGTTGTGTTTTTATAGTTTTTGGCTTGCTAAAAAATTATATTTTCACAATGGCAAAATCGAAAATTTTGCCCTTGTTTGGTCATTTTTTGACCAAATCAGGGCTGGGATTCATATCAAATTTACACGTGTAAAAATCGGCAAAAATTTACACGCGTGTAAAAATTTCTGGCGTGTAAATTTGATATGAATCTCAGCCCAGAAGATGAACATCATCTTCGAGCAGTTCGCGCCAGTAGACGCCAAACCGCTCGCAACTCATTTGGGAGTCGTTTGGTAGCATTTCTTCGAGGTTGTTCAAGGTGGCGGACGATTTCGAGATGTTTTCTTCTAACCGCCCTAGCAGCCTGGACAACAACACTAGAGTTGTGTCAAGGCGTCTAAATTATGGCATTTTTCACGCTGTTTCTAACGGTATACCTAACGTTACACGAAACCGTCTGGGGACAGAGAGGGGAGCGTTTTAGTAGTGAAAGGCGTACTTGCCGAAGTTGTCGCAGCAGTAAAACCATCATATCTCGCTTCAATTAAGTATTTTGGAATGCCAAGTACATCGTTCGAAAGAACGCGAAAAGTTCTATCCGTGTAACGAATTTCAGCTTTTGAGCAGCTTAGCTCAGCCTGCTAGGGCGGTTAGAAGAAAACATCTCGAAATCGTCCGCCACCTTGAACAACCTCGAAGAAATGCTACCCAACGACCCCCAAATGAGTTGCGAGCGGTTTAGCGTCTACTGGCGCGAACTGCTCGAAGATGATGTTCATCTTCTGGGCTGGGATTCATATCAAATCTACACGCCAGAAATTTTTACACGCGTGTAAATTTTGGCCCAAAGTTTGCTACTGCCGTGCCAAAGCGCTGCAGGCAAATTTTTGCAAGTATTGGTACAAGGGTCCATCTGAATAAATATGCCTTGGCTTATTTTACGATTTTAACAACAAGATTGTGGCAAAAAGGGCTAAATTCTTTCTAAGGATAAAAGAGTCTTTTAAAAAAGGGCTTTTGGTTTTCGCAAAAAGAGACGAATTCTCATGGCAACAAAAAGTGCTAAATTCCTTTCAAACTCTGAAAAATGCCATAAAATGTGGGATCAAGCAAAGTTGCTGGTACCTTATTAAAACCGGCAGCTCTAGTTTTTAGCCGGTAATACGGCCTACTAATAGTTCCTGCATTATGGTGTATTTGCACCTTCTTGAAAGTAATCTCTAGGTTATCTGTTATCTACCAGCTTTCGTCGTAAAAATTCACATATCTGGGACAGTACCAGGTTTAACACGATTTTAAATAGCCAGCAATTTTTTGTTGATCCCGCATTTTATGGCATTTTTCGGAGTTTGCAAGGAATTTAGCACTTTTTGTTGCCATGAGAATTCGTCTCTTTTTGCGAAAACCAAAAGCCCTTCTTTAAAAGATTCTTTTTAGCCTTAGAGAGAATTTAGCCCTTTTCGCCTCAATAACCATAACTATGTGGTTGTGGTTTCATAATTTTTCACCAAAACGTCAATAATTTTCGAAAAATTTTATTATTTTTATATGGGGTTTTATGCCTAAAAACTATGTAAAAAGCTATCAAAATGGTTCATAATTTTTATAGGGCCATGGCGAGAGAGAAAAGAAAAAGAGAAAAATTTCATTCCCCGCTAACAGTCCAGAACCGAATTGCGAGAGAGAGCCAGAGAGAGAGGAACGAGTCAGGGCGAGAGAGAGAGACTGAGAGAGAGAGAGTGCGTGAGAGAGTGAGTGAGGGAAAGAGAGCGCGAGAGAGAGATAGGCAAACCATAATCCTCTGATATGGCGGCTGATCGGCGTACTGCAGCGCGTCGATCCACACGCATATCAGGTGAAATTCTTTAGGGAATCCGAACGGCCACCCTGAAATTAGATGCTAGGAAAAAGTCCTCCCCCCCGATAATGGGAAAGAACCAATGGATGGCTCGACCGCGTTGTCCTTCGCGACGACCATATTCCCTAAGAAACTCTCTTGCTGCTGAACATCCACTTCTTGCACCAGAGCATCTCCGGCCCGACCCACCCATGGAATAACCCTTCTCGGTACAAATCGAGCAGCACGTAGAGCCAGATCTGTAAAAATAATCCTGCTTCCAAAATCTCCGCAATAA